CGGAGCCCGCGATAGCGGATGTGGGATGTCGACGATCAGACTTTCAAAGACATAAGGTCGATCATCACCACAGGCCAGGCATCATTTTTAGCAGTCTTCTGAAGCTTTTCACTTTGATCATTCCGGAACTGGCGCAAGGGTCGACGCTTGTTGTTCGACGCTCTGTTTGCAGGCTTCATTTCAGAGGGTTGAAGGTGTCTCGATTCAGGCAAGCTTCATGCAGTGAGGGATGCTTTGCCTTCATGTGCGCTCATGTCTGTACATATGCTGCATGCATGCATGAGGCTTACCTGTAGTGTAACTTGTTTGGGTCTCCGATTTCCAAGGTTGCGAGGCTTGTAGGAGTGAGGCTGCCAGGTTTCGTTGAAAGACCTCAGTGCATCCATTCTTTTCAGGTTAAACCTGCCAGCAATAGCCCAGGCTTGACCTGGGCGTGTGTGTGTGTGTGTGTGTGTGCGTGCAAACGCCTGCACATGGCGACATGATTCCAGAAGCCAGATGTACATAACTGCAGGGGGACACAGCATGTCACCGGGACTGTGTCCAACGAGGCGACCAGTGGCATGGGAAGCAAGGGCTGATCACCCTTGTGTACCTGCAAAAAGGCCTCCCGAATTTGCACCCTCAATGCTGTTGTTTCGTACTGGCCTTCAGAAGTGATCTTAATGAAGTGCTTTTCTGCATTAGGATGCTCGAGGTTCGCCTCATCAGTTCTCGCCAAGCCTAAGTGTGTGTGTATGTATATATATATATATATGTATACATATATGAAGCAACCCCCTATTGCCCCTGTTGAACAACTCAACCTCCATGATGTTTTGAAGGAGGGGGAGGAAGGGAAAAAGAAGCCAATGCCGCAAATACCGACAAAATCGCGACTCTCTGTTCGGTTTGTTTAGAACAACGAATATTTAAACTTTACAAGCCTCACAATGCAATGAACTACCCAACCACATGAAGGCGAGCTAGCTACTAGATCTCTACCCAACTAGCCAAGCACTAAGCTAAGCCTTTAAATACAGGTATAAAAACCAACTAGATACATACATAGCCTTGATATATAAGCCGACTAGATACATACATAGCCCTGATGGTACGGGATGCAACCCAGAAAAAAAGCAAAAAGGATTGCGAAGATGGCTAAAGAGATAGGCAGGCATATAGACATGTACATGTAGAGACATATGTAGACATTGACTTCTAAAGCTCGCAAAGCCGCATAGGCTTTAAATAAGTATATCAAGACATGGATACATGCCATGCTATATTTTATGCATGCTCCCATGACAGCGCTGTTGTTACGTGTAAACTATGAGTTGCTCATGTGCGTATACGCCGGCGGATTCCAGTAGTTTTGGCCACATAGAATGACAAAAGGCTCTTATGATCTGCAATTGCAGTGGCATACAAAAGGCCATCAGGCTTGTTAACTGCACGCGCATGCTGTTAGGCAGAGCACATCAAGTGCCGGCACTTGCTGCGGTGGCGGGGCGGCGGAGGCCCAGAAAAGCTACGAGATTCGTTTGACAACATATGCG